TTCTGATGAATCTAGCTCCTATTCTCTTTATCCTCGCCCCCCAATCCTTCATTGACTCTCCCGAAAATTGCGCCATTCTGGCCAATTCATGGTGAAGAGTCGTGAGATCCTCCTTTCTTTCATACTGAGCAATTAGGATATCTATGATATCTCTCAGTTCTGTGGCACCTTTTGCTTTTGGGTCCGCGGCGAGGAAAGTCCGGGCAGGAAATGTAACTTTGAGTCGGACTATGGCGATCGCGACTGGATCCGCCCACCCCACCAGAGTTTTTGCAGTTTGGATTTTCTCTGTAAATTCCCTAACAGGAATTGATCCCTTTTCCCCCGAAAATTCCGGAATTGATCTCAAAATATCTGAATTCAAAGAGGAAACTCTTCAGCCATGCTTCTTTTGTTACTTTCTCTTCAGGAGTCTTCCATTCAAATTTGGGCATTAAATCACAAAGTGCTTTCCTAATGTTACAACGCATAGAGAATTCGATAAAATAAAAATTGATTCCATCTGTTTAATTCCCGTGAACGTATTACTCGGATGAATTTGAGATATAGAACCGGTGGGGACGGGTGGGGACCGGTTGGGACCGGTGGGGACTGGTTGGGACCGGTTGGGACCGGTGGGGACTGGTGGGGACTAGTGACTTGAAGCACGAGAAAAATACCTAAAACCATGATGCAGCGAAATGACATCACGTTCATGCTCTGAATAGTCACAGGTGGTCCGCACTATACTGCCGCCAGATGCGAATCTGGGATTTGACGATCAGACAGACGGGAACTCCAGAGGGATGCACGGTGCGGCTGTGTCGTTGGGTGGCGTTTTCGCATGCCTAAACGCGAAATGCCTGAATGAGAGTGAGGGCTGGATCGCGTTCGGGAAGTACATGTCGGGAAGTACATGTCGGGAAGTACATGTCGGGAAGTACGAGAAGCACCGGGCTTGTCGATGCCCAAGTACAGAGAATTTCCATGAAATTAACGAGGGTGATCTCAACGGATTGAAAATCGTGTATTCGACGTAAAACTCACAATCACCTACAGTGGTCACGGAATCACGAGACGAGGAGGATCAGCGATGCGGACTGCTATTTTAACGAAGAGCAGCTGCTGATCTGACGTGACATGCTGCTGATCTGACGTGACATGCTGCTGATCTGACGTGACATGCTGCTGATCTGACGTGACATGCTGAGGATCTGACGTGGCATTCTGTGCATCTGACATAACATTCTGAAGACGTGTAATTACTGAACTCTCAGAAAGGGCGAAAGGGTCATTCCAGAAACCGGTGCAAGAAATAAGACGTCCAATCAAGAGTTTTGATCAGTATTGTACCGGAGAATCGGTAACCGCTGGTATCGGCCATCGGTTTCCAAGTCGACCCCGTTGCTTTTTTAAGCTGCCGATGCTTAAAGAAGAACGGGGGGGGGGAAGGCTCGATGAATGATCCCCGACAGCAATAGAAGAAAGGAAAAGTCGGTCCGTCACGATGCTTCAACCGACGCATCGATGACGTCATAGGTGGTTTGTGGAGTCGGCAGTCTTTCAAAATTTCACCATGGTCGAACTCGAAACCATATGCATCGATCCGCCCTCGGGTCGATCCATCGGTGTCAAACAGCCATCGTGAGATCCTTAAAGGAATTTTTAAAATAAATATTGTTGTGTCTGTTTTAATAAGCATTTAATATCATGGTACTCTGGTTTTCATCTAAATGTCATAATCGGCATTGGCGCCTGGTGAAGGTACGAGACTATAATCGGCCATTGGCCCTCATGCCAAAATTGGTCATCGGTGCGGTGTGGTCACCGTTGGCTACCAGTACCACCGATATTCATCACCCCACGGTCCCATCCATCATCGAGGTTGTGAGCAGATTTATAAATGATATGAATATAGTGCATGTGTTGAGTATATCGAAGAGCATATTTCCGTCGGCTGGTCGTCTGCTGCTTTGGAAAGACTTTTCCAGAGGGGATGTTAAACTGGGATGGAAATGATGAGATACAGCGTGTAATTCCTGATGGATTCGATACGGGCTTGAGAGGGGTGAAAGATTCAATTTGCTGCAGCGTTATGCGTCTCTAGATATTGTTATGAACGCGGTATTTCGTTCTAGTGGCGAACGGAAACAATGGACGAGGTGCGATTCGGGGATCCGGATCAAACAAATCCCATTCGATGCACCACGATGCTCTATTCCTGAAAGATTATTTCTCTGGAAATGCCATCGCCATCAGAACGCGGTTCAAGGCGGGAGAAATCGACAGACAAGAGAGGCTCGGAAGCTGGGTCTTCCCTCTCACTCTCTGCTCGGTAATCCACGGAAACCTTGCCTCGCCTTGCCTCTTGCCCGTCGTCTCCCGCCTCCAACGGTCGTCTCTGCCTCCAGCCTGTCGTCTCCCGCATCCAAACCGTCGTCTCCTGCCTCCAACCCGTCGTCTCCCGCCTCCAGCCTTTCGTCTCGCGCTTCCGCTGTCTGCGAATTTTCATTCATTTCCGTCAGGGCGATAACCTCCTCCTTCTCTTCCTTCTGAGCGTCTTTCCGCTTCAACGTCGCCTGGTACAAGGCGGCGGCCCCGGCCACACCAGCGGAAGCGGCGCACGAGAGGACCCTGGTCGCGATCGGGATGACCCTGGAAGCGGCAGGAGCCAAGCCGGCCGCGGCCTCGGCCCCCGCCCCCGCCGCCGCCGCCAAGCCGATCGCGGTCGCGCCGACTCCTGCCGTCAACCCAATTACGCTCAGGGCGATGGCCGTGCCCGCGCAGCACGTCTGCTTCAGTTCCTTTTTCTGCCTGTCGCTGTAGTTGATGTACATCAAGTCGATTTCCTGGAAAGTTTGAATCAGACTGGAATCTTAATCAAACACGAATGCATATTTAAAAGCAGATGCAGATATTTCGGCTGACCCTTTCCAGAGTCTCCTTGTAGCATTTGAACGCTTCGCATACCGTCCCAACTTGCTCGAAGATGTCCAGCACTTCCCTTTTGCTTTCGTAATGCCTGTCGAAAAGCTCGGATTCTTTCAAGTAAAACTTGGAGCTTTTGAAGAGTTCCTCCATTTGATTGCAGTAGTGCTTCAACCCACACTGCTTCTGGTAGTTTCCATACACCTCGTCCAGCTCCTTTAGAGAAATTTAAATGCCCGCTTAATATAATAATAAATATGCTGACTTCAGACTGAAGCAATTTATGGGACGAACCATTTCCAACTGAGCCTTGTATGCGTCGGACATCTGGTCGTCGCCCATCTTCTTGGAATCGTAGAAGATCTTGAAGGCCTCGCCGCGACATTCGACGTCCTTCTCCTGCAGTCTCCGGGATTCGGCGGGGGAGTCTCTGTGCTGAGTTCGTCCATCCGCGTCTTGTAGCGTCGCAGCGCTTCGTCCACGACCTTCCGGTGCTGGACCTCGGCCGTGGCCTTCAAAGAGGGGGGGGGGGGGGGTCACTGGAGGAGGTCAGGGTGCGGTCGGAGGGAGGAGGTCGCGTGGTCACCTGGTAGATGCTCTGGGGCTCGGGGATCTCCCGTCGGTTGTTGTAGATCCCGACGTACGACTGGAAGTAGCGGAAGAGGTCCTCGCACGTGATGGTCTTCCCCGCGATCTTCTTCAGGACCAGGTTCTCCGGCGAGAGCAGCGACGGCACCAGTTCCTTCATCTGCTTCTTGAAATCCTTGCTCATGTCTGCCGCCGTATTAGGTCGTTAGGCATGAAATGTCCGATTTTCCGTTACTTAACAAGTGATCACGATCGTGAATGCAGAAATTCTTAATATTATATCGGAGCTATAGAGTTAGAAGAGGTAAGACGTGCTTAAGAATACGTCATTTCCAGTTAATTCTATTGTACCGTTATTTGTTTTTGTAGGTACAGTCGAACTCGGTTATAACGAAACCTCGGTCATAACGAAGTCCATCGAAGGTCCCACAGACGAAATCGACAACGTTCCTGTCCCTGATCAGTCATTCTTTGCTGAAATTTCCGTCATCGGAAAAATTAGCGAGCCATAACTTTATATTTCCTGGATTCGGCATTCCTTGAGAGTCATGTGGCTGGAGCAATGTCAGGGAGGGATAATCTCCAGCAGCTGAGATCGTCTTCAGTCGCCATTTTGCATTTCTCGGTGACAGCCCTGCCAATGAAAATCGAAAGAGGCAAGTCCCCGCGATCGCAAGGAAAGTGCGCTCGAATGGTTCAGCAGAAAGAGCTGGCAAGCGAAGCCGACGTCGCTCGCGAACACGGGCGTCCGTCCGTCCGTTTCCAAAACTTGGGAAGATCGCGACGGCTTCGTCCGTGCTCGCGTGTCGCACGCGACACCGACGAAGTCTTGCTGAAGTGTAAGTTCAAGGTCCAAAGAAGTGCGACCACGGTTAGTGGGTCGGTCTCTGAAACCAGTGCAGTATGACCAATGTAAACTGGAGTTGTAGGGTTGTAAAGCGTCAATTTTGAAAACAGGAAAACGGAGTGCCAATAAAGGCAACCTCGGCGGTTTTTCCCCGGTCCCTTCGATGACGTCATGACCGAGTTCGACTGTACTTCAAAATGGATTCTTCACAAGAAATTCGTGTATCTTTTTTCATACGAGTATAAATTGCACCATGGTGCGTCGCAGGCAGCAGAACCATTAATCCTGCTTTCGCAATTCGCAGGTGGTGCGAAAAATTCAGCAAAGGCGATGAAAGTAGCATCGTACGAGTACATCGTACCATTTTGAAGTACCGACAAAAACGAAATAACGAGGCGATGGAATTAACTGGGAATGACGTATTATTAAGCACGTCTTACCTCGTCTAAGAGACATATCGAGACTATATTAAAATTCTTAAAGACGTAAGTGTGAGCGCTAGTGAACAGTGCATTGACTTTTGGACTGTAAAGTGTGGATTGTTGGAGTATATATCTAGCTCTATAGTAATCTATACATGTTCCTTCCGAAGCTCGGGCTTGGATATTCTGATGCACAGGCAAAAACACGCGCGAACAGACTACCCAGTCGAACATTTTTTCATCGAGCCATCGATGGCTTTTTCCTCGGCGCATGCGATTTGGTATATGTCGGGCCATGCCCTCAGTATGGCTCGCTTACGGATGGCTGACGGTCGGGAAAGCCTTGTTGGCCCTTTATGGAGTCGTGTTTGGGTCATTGTTGGGGAACGACACGTGCCTCAACCGTAGGCTGACTTTTCACAGTGGTGAAATGATGTTGGAAAAAATAAACCACGTTGAGTGCACCTATGGCATTATTCGTGGACCTCTACACTCCTACGTAGTAAACCGGGTTGTAGAGAGTGCCTACGACTCCGTAGGTCATCGCCTTAGTGTACCCTTGCACTCCCACAGACAGCGTCCCCCTGCCCGTGCGGCATTCCGGAAAGGATGTCTTAAATAGAGAGAGAGAAAAAGAAAAGCATGTCGCTTATCGTTGAAAGTCGAAGGATCATTCCCGCGGAGCTCAGATCCAGGATTTCCTAGTTCGTTCCAGATCAAAGTTGCATACTCAGGTAAATGTTTCAAGAAATTCAATTATCTTCCACTGAGATCTATATGTGAAAGCAGAGAAGATTGTGACCAAGGAACGGGGATCTCATTTCCGTTGAATCCGGGAAGCGACTCCCATGATGATTGGCCGGCCAATCGTTGGTCGAAAATGAGCCAACTTCCCAAGCTATAGCGGGACCATAAACCGGCGAAAATTTTTAACTTGATGATTGTGAAAAATGAACGGAAATAGGGGCCTACCCGAAATCGACCCGTTGAAATTGGCATCTCCGGCCACTTTCTCTCCCGGATAAGGCATGAGGAAGCACCTCCGCTTCAAGAAACCGGATTTGATGTCTTCCTTCACCTTCCTCACTTCCTCCCGCTGCTTCCCAGAGGTCTGCAAGCATCGAGCGGGTCTCAATTAACCGACAATTGACCGACGTTTCGCCGACGAGGAGCGGTCAGACCTGCAATTTCTTTTCCATGTACTTCTCCCCTCCTTCGAAGCCGTGCTTGTACTCGTGGCTGTTCCTCCAGTCCCTCACGAGGAAAATGAAGTCTTGGAAAGGTGTTTCCCCGTTTTTCTCGAGGCAGAGCCGGCCGTACGCTGTAAAGTACTGGTCCCTCCTTCGAAGCCGTGCTTGTACTCGTGGCTGTTCCTCCAGTCCCTCACGAGGAAAATGAAGTCTTGGAAAGGTGTTTCCCCGTTTTTCTCGAGGCAGAGCCGGCCGTACGCTGTGAAGTACTGGATTCGAAATTCTTTCTATATACACTCTGATCCTGAATTTGCATTCAAGACCGTTGTCATTGTTAAAGTGAACAGCCAAAAACATGATGGCATGCCTCCTGTATACCTCCACGAAAAAAGCTCCTTCTGGCGTTTTTGTTTTTTATCAATTCCCCTAAAGTGGGCTGTACTCAGAGTTCTTACGTGACTTTTTTTTAGTCCTGTTTAGGACTTTTAGGGAGCCAAAAAAAATTCAGGCACCACTATCCCCATAAAAGACATTCATGAAATGCAATTTCAGAAATACCTCGAAGTGTTTATGGAGTAACACTTTACAAGAACCTGAATGAACTTATGAGGTGTCCTTCCTGAAGTACCTGAAGATGCAGAAGGTCGTCCATCTGAATATTCTCCTTCAGGTTGTAAATCTGTACCGAGCTCAGCAAAGTACTGAGCGCGAAGACGGTACTGCTGTGTCCCACTGTCTCCTCGCAGTCAAAGGTCCCTTCGGTGTCCATGAGGACGACGCATACCTTAAGCAAAAAAAAGGTATCGTGTCTTCCATAGGTCGATTACAGAGATTCGAGAATGCGCTTACCTCTTCCCCGTTGGGCTGTTTGATGGTGAAAACCTCATTCCAGATGTGGATTCCTGTCGTCACTCTGTCGGAACTCATCCTCCTGGAGGACATATGGAGGTGCTTTTTTCGAGGAAGACCGCAAAAACAAAAAATAGTTAAGGGGATTTCACACGACATGAGTCTCAAGAATGCACTGAAAAAAAATCAGGATAAATCCTGAAAATCCCCCCCAAAAAAAAGTCAGGCACCACTATCCTCATAAAAGACATTCATGAAATGCAATTTCAGAAATACCTCGAATTGTTTATGGATTAACACTTCCCAAGAACCTGAATGAACTCATGAAGTGCCCTTCCTGAAGTACCTGAAGATGTAGAAGGTCGTCCATCTGAATATTCTCCTTCAGGTTGTAAATCTGTACCGAGCTCAATAAAGTACTGAGCGCAAAGACGGTACTGCTGTGTCCCACTGTCTCCTCGCAGTCAAAGGTCCCTTCCGTGTCCATGAGGACGACGCATACCTTTAACAAAAAAAATGCATTTCTTGTGTCTTCCATAGGTCGATTACAGAGATTCGAGAATGCGCTTACCTCTTCCCCGTTGGGCTGTTTGATGGTGAAAACCTCATTCCAGATGTGGATTCCTGTCGTCACTCTGTCGGAACTCATCCTCCAAGCAAACCCGTTCAGAGGAACGTGCTTATCTTTCAGCCATTTTTTCGGCTCCTTACAAGAAACCAAGTGATGGAGAAGGAAGCAAAGGAGAAATAACTTCCCAAGGAACCCGGCTTACCTTGGCCCTGAGGTACCTGAGGAAGAGACTGAGCATGAATGACTTCCCCTTCCTCGCGGCCCCCGCGATGGACACGACCACCACCGGCTTGTCCCTACATCGCTCCCCTAGCAGCATCCCCCCCAGCCGATCCTCCTGCAAGGTGTAGTAGCTATCGCCATCCTCGGATTCCGTGCGCTCAAGGATGCAGACGGCCTGCCCAGGTCCCATTTCTGCAAAACGAACAAACTTTCGAGGGCTTATTTAAACCCACGATGAACTTCCATTGGAAATTTTTATCTTTTGATGGGATATTGGGATATTGCTTACAATAAGCCATTCTACGAGGTTGCAGGGAGTGCAGAGGGTATTAACAATGGTTTTTCGCGCTCAACACAACCAATAAAAGGACAGAGAAATTCCCGATCGTTAATGACTTTTGGCAAAGTCCTTTCCTATCATTTGCTTCCTTCAGCATAGCCTTTTGATTTTATAGACTCAGACTTTTTCAATTTGTAGTACTTGAGGCACTTAAAACTTTTAGTACTTCTATCCATCTTAACTTCATTGCTGAGACAACCATTTCATGTCTCAAGAGAGAAAGGGGTCTTTCCTCTTCCTCCTCTAATTGTGAAAGAAAAGGTTCGATATTCAATATTATTTTCAGTATGGCTTAGAAGCCGTGCAATTGCAACCATCAAGTTGTATTCGTCGAGATAAAGAGTACTTTCGCTTATCTTTGTTACCATTCCTGTCTACAATAAAAAAAACGCTTGTCGCGAGTCCTTGAAAAGCGATACATTCAGGCTTTCAGCCAATAGACAACCCAATTGGAAAGCCCATCTGAAAACCCGAGTACGCAAAAATATTTATCCTCTAACATTTTCATAGATCCTTCTACTGTTGAAGCCGAATTTTCAAAAAAGGCTATACCATTTTTATTTATTTAGATGGTATATTGGTGTTGAAACCAACAGGGAGCTACCGAAATGAGTCAAAAATTCGCCTAATGAGTATCTTACGCCATTTCATCCCTCAACCAAAGGAAAAGAAGAGGGGAAGAAAATAAACGCTTACCGGATCGCTATGACTTCAACGAGTGAAGATGAGGTGGGAGAGGTATGCGGTTGGGAGCGGGTCTCATCGCTGTCCTACCACTCCATCGTGGCTGCGTGGAGGGCGAGTGAATGTCGCGGCTGGAACGCGAGATACCCTCTCTATCGCTCTCTCCTCCATAAACAGTCTCTTCAGGAATTCCGACTGTGGGAGGGCTGAGGTCGTCGGGTTCCTTGCACATATGGAAGCGTCGGTTGCAGAGAAGCAGGCTGCAGGCTATTCATGGGCCTCGTGCGTCCCATAGGTCCATGAGGGAGATGGATAGAGGGGAAGGGGAGGATGGGGAGGGCAGAGACGGGGTGAAACGAAGATATGATTGGTGTGTGGAGACAAAAATTCCATAGTGACGTGAAGTCCTTTGGCCTGTCTCCGATTTGCTTTTGGATGAACATAAATCGTTGTGCGTCTTCCTAAAAATCTATTGTAGCCTTCAGTAACTTGGATCCGAGTTAATGTGAAGCCAGGAAACATTCCAAAGACAGAGGAAATATTATAATTAGGTTGCAATAATTACTGAATAATTTTTTCGGTTTTGGCTTAACTTGGTTCCCATTAAGTCTACAGGGTAAAAAATGCTCGCAGCCGTTGAATTGGCAGGGGAAGTTATAAAGTTACGGTCTTTCTAAGGAGAGAAATAATTCCACGTACTTTAATTATCGTCGCAAGTCCGCAATACGTTTATTTAGCTTGAAGTTACATTCAAGTTCCTTGTTTTCAGCTAATTAGTCACTAATTACCAATCTGGTGACATGAGCAGACTTTTTCATATTTTTGGATATATGTGTATTATTCTTTTTTCATGTGATTTTCGTACGGAATTGTTTCTCTTATTCCAATACGGGAAGCCCAAAAGCCGCGCTCTTTGGGGATTTCACTGTCGCACTACATTAACTCTTCTTTCCAGGGAAGTGATGACTGCAAAATTCACAAATTCGCAAAAGTATGTTACCAGATCATTCGTACATCTTTTCGAAGTGTTTTCAAGTTCATGGCAAACTATTTTAACATTTACTGCAATTTCCCCAAATTTTTGCCTTGTAAAATTGCTCGTGATTTCCCCGATTGATTATCTTTCTTGATTTCAGCAGGAAATGTGCGAGAGGCTTTCGAGGAGTTTTCTGATGGAGTTGGGTGGTTGTTTTTCAAGATGAAATTTCTAAGAAAATTAATAAAATATTTATTTTTACATGTTGAAATTCCGTGAACGTAAGTTTCAGTTCGTTAAAAAAAAACAGTTCATCTGCATTTAAATTCTGAGAAATAACCCCAAAATAATGTACCAGTTTCAAGAAAGATACTTATGTCTGAAATAATAATAAAATTAATGTTCGGAAATGGAATTGTGGTAAAAATGCAAGCTATCAGGTTTTTCTAGACTAAATCCGGAACGTTTTCAAAAGTAAATACAGTAAAAAGTAAATCTTGCCAACCTCACATTTTCTCAAAATGTATTTAACATGAATGAATGCTTGCACGTGAATAATACGTATTTAATTTAATGAATATCAGACCTGCAAATTTACCGGTGCCTTCCATTTCCCCCCCCCCCCGATACTTAATTGAAAGACGGTTGCCAAATGTTTCCTTTCATCTCATCTCGGCAAACCGGGGCGAGAGTGCAATACGATCTAAGATTAAACCCTTTCTTGAAGCAGTTGAAAATGGAGTAGGATGTTGTAAAGTAATAGACTTTCTAGGGAGATAAATAACCCTTTAATTATCATTGCAAATTATAAGTTTCTCAATGATAATATAGTTACCTGCAAGGAAAATAATATGCCCCCTTACAGAAAAGGCTCCATGAATGATCCTCGATAACAATAGGAGAAAAATTAGCCATGGCGATGCTTCAACGAAACGCATCGATGACGATGGTGAGCGACGGTTGTTTTATGAAATTTCGCAGTGAGTGCACTCTACACCATGTGGATCGATCCCCCCTCAAGTCGTCGATCCATCTGTGTCAAACATCATGATATCCCTAAAGAAAAGGTAACGGCTTCCTCATATTGATTTGTCTCTTCCAATGAGCGATTCATATTACGGTTCCATGATTTTCATCTAAATGTCACAATCGGCATCGGCGCCTGGTAAATGTACGAGATCATATAATCGGCCATTGGTCCTCATGCCTAATGTGGTCACCGTTGGCATCCGGCGCCTCTTATATATATCATCCCACGGTCCCTTCCATCACCTAGGTAGTGAGCAGCTACAAATACATGATCAAGGTGTATAGCGAATCCGGGATTTCATGATCAGACGGATGGGAACTCCACTGGGATGCACGGTGATTTCATTCATGTTAGCATGGGTGGAAATGCCTGGATGTGAGAGTGAGGGCTGGATCGCGTTCGAGAAGCACAATTAGAGAAGTACCTGGCATGTTGATGCTTATGTACTAAGAACATCAAGGAAATTAAGGTGGTTGTTCCTCAATGAATTGGAAATAGTGTATTCGACGAAAAATTCTGAGGATCTCACGTGACATGCTGGTGATCTGATATGATATTCTGATGACGTGCAAATATTGAATTCTCTAAAAGGTCATTCCAGAAACCGGTGCAATAAATAAATGTCCGATCAAGAGTTTTAATCAGGACTGTACCGGAGAATCACCTCGGGAGTGAGCAGTTACAAATACATGAACAAGTTGTATGCGTTCGGGTTGAGTGTTTCGAAGGGCATTTAGTTGTCGGATGGTCAGCAGCTGCTTTGGAAAGGCTTTTCCAGCTGGGATTTCCATTTTATGACAGGAAATGATGAGACGCAGCATCGAATTGCTGTTCGATTCGCTCCAGGCCTGAGAGGGGCGAAGGATTCCATGTGCTGCAGCGTTATCCGTAACTACATATTGTTATCCACTCGTTATTTCGTTATAGTGGCGAACGAAACACCGGACGAGGTGGATTCTCCTGGATTCTGCGGGGGAGTCTCTGTGCTGAGTTGGTCCATCCGCGTCTTGTAGCGTCGCAGCGCTTCGTCCACGACCTTCCGGTGCTGGACCTCGGACGTGGCCTTCAAAGAGGGGGGGGGTGGGGTCACTGGAGGAGGTCACGGTGCAGTCGGAGGGAGGAGGTCGCGTGGTCACCTGGTAGATGCTCTGGGGCTCGGGGATCTCCCGTCGGTTGTTGTAGATCCCGACGTACGACTGGAAGTAGCGGAAGAGGTCCTCGCACCTGATGGCCTTCCCCGCGATCTTCTTCAGGTCCAGGTTCTCCGGCGAGAGCAGCGACGGCACCAGTTCCTTCATCTGCTTCTTGAAATCCTTACTCATGTCTGCCGTCGTATATACATCGACATGTCATTCGATATTATGCTCTTAGGAACGCCTTCCGAAGCTCGTGCTTGCATGTACTGATGCACAGCCAGAAATGCGCTTAAACAGACTCCCCAGTCAAACGTTTTCATCGAGCTATCGATGGCTTTTCCTCGTATAAGTCTTTGCCGGGCCATAACGTCCAAATGGTTCGCTTACGGTTGGTTTAAACCTGCTTATGATCGGAAAAGCCATGTAGGCCCTTTATGGAGCCATGTTTGGCTTATTGTTGTGAAACAGCACATGCCCCAACCGTAAGCCGACTTTTCAAAATGGAGAAAAGATGAAAACTGTGTCCAAGGAACATGGATCTCATTCCGGTAGAATCCGGAAAGAGACTCCCATGTACATTCCCGGCATCTCAGGACGATTCTCTGAACCTTCTCAGCCACATTCACTCATCTTTGGCGAATGATTGACCGGCCAACCGTTGGTCGAAAGTGAGACAAATTCCCCAGGTATGGTCCGACGGACAACCAACGAAAATGTTTGACATGATAATCATGAAAGTTGAACGAAACGGGGACCTACCCGAAATTGACCCGTTGAAATTGGCATCTCCGGCCACTTTCTCACCTGGATAGGGCGTGTGGAAGCACCTCCGCTTCAAGAAACCGGATTTGATGTCTTCCTTCACTTCCTCCCGTTGCTTCCCCGAGGTCTGCAAGCATCGAGCTGGTCTCGATTAACCGACAATTGACCGACGCTTCGCTGACGAGGAGTGGTCAGACCTGCAACTTCTTTTCCATGAACTTCTCCCCTCCTTCGAAGCCGTACTTGTACTCGTGACTGTTCCTCCAGTCCCTCACGAGGAAAATGAAGTCTTGGAAAGGTGTTTCCCCGTTCTTCTCGAGGCAGAGCCGGCCGTACGCTGTGAAGTACTGGAGTCGAAATTGTGTTATATGCTCTCTGATCCTGAATTTGCATTCTAGATCGTTGTCATTGTTAAAATGAACAGCCAAAAACATGATGGCATTGCAGGACATATGGAGGTGCTTTTTCTCGAGGAAGACCACATACGACCCTGACTCTGAAGATGACCATCAAAAACAAAAAATAGTTAAAGGGATTTCGCACCAAATAAGTATCTCGAATGCACTGGAAGAAATCAGGACAAATCCTGAACATCCCCCCCCCCCCCNTGCAATACGATCTAAGATTAAACCCTTTCTTGAAGCAGTTGAAAATGGAATAGGATGTTGTAAAGTAATAGACTTTCTAGGGAGATAAATAACCCTTTAATTATCATTGCAAATTATAAGTTTCTCAATGATAATATAGTTACCTGCAAGGAAAATAATATGCCCCCTTACAGAAAAGGCTCCATGCATGATCCTCGATAACAATAGGAGAAAAATTAGCCATGGCGATGCTTCAACGAAACGCATCGATGACGATGGTGAGCGACGGTTGTTTTATGAAATTTCGCAGTGAGTGCACTCTACACCATATGGATTGATCCCCCCTCAAGTCGTCGATCCATCTGTGTCAAACATCATGATATCCCTAAAGAAAAGGTAACGGCTTCCTCATATTGATTTGTCTCTTCCAATGAGCAATTCATATTACGGTTCCATGATTTTCATCTAAATGTCACAATCGGCATCGGCGCCTGGTAAATGTACGAGATTATATAATCGGCCATTGGTCATCATGCCTAATGTGGTCACCGTTGGCAAAATTCTGAGGATCTCACGTGACATGCTGGTGATCTGATATGATATTCTGAGGACGTGCAAATATTGAATTCTCTAAAAGGTCATTCCAGAAACCGGTGAAATAAATAAATGTCCGATCAAGAGTTTTAATCAGGACTGTACCGGAGAATCACCTCGCTAGTGAGCAGTTACAAATACATGAACAAGTTGTATGTGTTCGGGTTGAGTGTTTCGAAGGACATTTAGTTGTCGGATGGTCAGCAGCTGCTTTGGAAAGGCTTTTCCAGCTGGGATTTCCATTTTATGACAGGAAATGATGAGACGCAGCATCGAATTGCTGTTCGATTCGCTCCAGGCCTGAGAGGGGCGAAGGATTCCATGTACTGCAGCGTTATCCGTAACTACATATTGTTATCCACTCGTTATTTCGTTATAGTGGCGAACGTGGCGAATAGTGGCGAAAAGCTCGGATTCTTTCAAGTAAAACTTGAAGCTTTTGAAGAGTTCCTCCATTTGATTGCAGTAGTGCTTCAACCCACACTGCTTCTGGTAGCTTCCATACACCTCGTCCAGCTCCAAAGGAGAAATTTAAATGCCCGCTTTATATAAGAATAAATGAACTGATATCAGACTGAAACCTTTTCTGGGGCGGACCATTTCCAACTGAGCCTTGTTTGCGTCGGACATCTGGTCGTCGCCCATCTTCTTGGAATCGTGGAAGATCTTGAAGGCTTCGCCGCGACATTCGACGTCCTTCTCCTGCAGTTCTCCGGGATTCGGCGGGGGAGTCTCTGTGCTGAGTTCGTCCATCCGCGTCTTGTAGCGTCGCAGCGCTTCGTCCACGACCTTCCGGTGCTGCACCTCGGCCGTGGCCTTCAAAGAGGGGGGGGGGGGGGGGGGGTGGTGCTGGACTTCGGCCGTGGCCTTCAAAGAGGGGGGGGGGGGGGTCATTGGAGGAGGTCAGTGTGCGGTCGGAGGGAGGAGGTCGCGAGGTCACCTGATAGATGCTTTGGGGCTCGGGGATCTCCCGTCGGTTGTTGTAGATCCCGACGTACGACTGGAAGTAGCGGAAGAGGTCCTCGCACGTGATGGTCTTCCCCGCGATCTTCTTCGGGACCAGGTTCTCCGGCGAGAGCAGCGACGGCACCAGTTCCTTCAGCTGCTTCTTGAAATCCTTGCTCATGTCTGCCGCCGTATATACATCGACATGTCATTCGATATTATGCTCTTAGTAACGCCTTCCGAAGCTCGTGCTTGCATGTACTGATGCACAGCCAAAAATGCGCTTAAACAGACTACCCAGTCAAACGTTTTCATCGAGCTATCGATGGCTTTTCCTCGTATAAGTCTTTGCCGGGCCATAACGTCCAAATGGTTCGCTTACGGTTGGTTTGAACCTGCTTATGATCGGGAAAGCCATGTAGGCCCTTTATGGAGCCATGTTTGGCTCATTGTTGTGAAACAGCACATGCCCCAACCGTCAGCCGACTTTTCAAAATGGAGAAAAGATGAAAACTGTGTCCTAGGAACAGGGATCTCATTCCGGTAGAATCCGGAAAGAGACTCCCATGTACATTCCCGGCATCTCAGGACGATTCTCGGAACCTTCTCAGCCACATTCACTCATATTTGGCGAATATGAGTGAACCGGCCAACCGTTGGTCGAAAGTGAGACAAATTCCCCAAGCATGGTCCGACGGACAACCAACGAAAATGTTTGACATGATAATCATGAAAGTTGAACGAAACGGGGACCTACCCGAAATTGACCCGTTGAAATTGGCATCTCCGGCCACTTTCTCACCCGGATAGGGCGTGAGGAAGCACCTCCGCTTCAAGAAACCGGATTTGATGTCTTCCTTCACTTCCTCCCGTTGCTTCCCCGAGGTCTGCAAGCATCGAGCTGGTCTCGATTAACCGACAATTGACCGACGCTTTGCTGACGAGGAGCGGTCAGACATGCAACTTCTTTTCCATGAACTTCTCCCCTCCTTCGAAGCCGTACTTGTACTCGTGATTGTTCCTCCAGTCCCTCACGAGGAAAATGAAGTCTTGGAAAGGTGTTTCCCCGTTCTTCTCGAGGCAGAGCCGGCGGTACGCTGTGAAGTACTGGAAGACGGTACTGCTGTGTCCGACCGTCTCCTCGCAGTCAAAGGTCCCTTCGGTGTCCATGAGGACAACGCATACCTTTAACAATAAAAATGCATTTCTTGTGTCTTCTAAGGTCGAAAACAGAGATTCGAGAATGCGCTTACCTCTTCCCCGTTGGGCTGTTTGATGGTGAAAACCTCGTTCCAGATGTGGATTCCTGTCGTCACTCTCTCGGAACTCATCCTCCAAGCAAACCCATTCAGGGGAACGTGCTTATCTTTCAGCCATTTTTTCGGCTCCTTACAAGAATCTTAGCGATAGAGAAAGAAGCAAAGGAGGCATAATTTCCCAAGGAACTCGGCTTACCTTGGCCCTGAGGTACCTGAGAAAGAGACTGAGCATGAATGACTTCCCCTTCCTCGCGGCCCCCGCGATGGACACGACCACCACCGGCTTGTCCCTGCATCTCTCTCCAAGCAGCATCGCCTCTAGTCGATCCTCCTGTAAGGTGTAGTAGCTATCGCCATCCTCGGATTCCGTGCGCTCGAGGATGCAAACGGCCTGCCCTGGTCCCATTTCTGCAAAACGAACAAACTTTTACCTCAGGACTGGAGACGAGCAAACGTCGTACCGATCTTTAAGAAGGGCGAAAAGAGTAATCCAGGAAATTACAGGCCAGTATGTTGACGTTAGGTACTAGACAGTAAGCAAGTAGGATAGTCCAAAAAAATAAAAAATACAAAAATACAAAAATATTTAGCTTTAAGAGGGTTAGGCCTACTCTAAAATTAAGGAACGCTCGACCTCGAAACGTGATAATCGAAATGGGCGAAATCGCCTCTTGATGTCACTAACTATCTTGTCTTGACTCTTGACTTAACTTTCGAGAGCGTATTTAATTCCACGATGAACTTCCATTGCAAATTTATGGGATGGGATCTCGGGATATAGCTTACAATAAGACATTCTACGAGTGTGCAGGGAATGCACAGAGCATTTACAATGGTTTTCCGCGCCCAACACAACCAATAAAAGGAAAGAGAAATTCCCGATCATTAATGATCATTAATAATGATCACAGCCATTTCCCAACATTCCCTTCCTTGAACATATCCTTTCGATTTCACAGTCTGAAAGTTTTTCAATTTGAAGTATTAAATTAAAAACTTTTAGCACTTCGATTTCTCTTAAATTTATTGCTGAGACAATTATTTCCTGTCTCAAATCGGGTAGGAGGGTTTTTCCTCTTCTTCCTCTTATAAAAAAAAAATAAATTCAATATTCAATATTATTTTCAGTATGGCGTAGAAGCCGTGCAATTGGAACCATCAAGTGGCATTCGCCGAGATAAAGAGTACTTTCGCTTATCTTTGTTACCATTCCTGTCTACAAGAAAGAATCGCTTGTCATGAGTCCTTGAATTGCGATATATTCAGAGTTTCAGCCAATAGAAAACCCAATTGGAAAGCCCATCGGGAAACCCAAGTTCGCAAAAATTTTCATCCTCTAACATTTTCATAAATCCTTCTACCGTAATGAGTAAACAATTCGCCTAATGAGTATCTTACGCCATTTCATGCCTCAACAGAAGGTAAGAAATAGGCAAAGAAATTAAACGCTCACCGGAACACTATGGCTTCAACGATTGAAGAGGAAGTGGGAGATGTAAGTGGTTGGTCTCATAGCTCTCCTGCCATTCGATCGTGGCTGCGTGGAGGGCGACTGTATGTCGTGGCTGGAAGGCGAGATACCCTCTCTATCGCTCTCTCCTCCATAAACATTCCCTTCAGGAATTCCCACTGTGGGAGGGCTGAGGTCACCGTGTTCCCTCCACATATGGAGGCATCGGTTGTTCATTGAGGGGCTTCATGTTCCAACGTCCAGGAGGCAGATCGAGAAGGGGGAAGGGAAGATGAAGAGGGTTGAAGCAGGGTGAAACGAGAAGAAAGTATTCGTTGGTCCTCTATCCTGTCTCCCAATTTACTTTTGGATGAACATAAGTCGTTTTGCAACTTCTTAATCGCCATCGTAATAAATTGTATCCGAGTCAATGTGAAGCCAGGAAACATTGCAATTTGGAAAAGGAAAAGGAAAATTGCAGGAATTATTGGAATTATGTTGCACTAATTATTGAAGCATATTTTCGATTTTCGCTTGACATGGCTCCCATCCAGTCCCGATTAAACCCTTTCGTGAAACCGTTGAAATTGGCCTAGAATGTTATAAAGTAATAGACATTCTAGGGAGATTAATAATGCTTTAATTATCATTGCAAATTTTAAGTTTCTTAATGGTAATATAGTTACCTGCAGGGGAAAAATATGCCGCCTTATATGGTCATGTAAAACGGTGGACGCCAGATTGTTGCGATTATCTCTGCCAAAAAAAAAGCAAACTGCTGGCATTTACAGTATGTGACATTCATTCGGTTGGGAGTCACATTCAAGTTCTTTGTTTTCGACCTGTTAGTCCCTAAATAATATTAAATAACACTTTCGTGACTTTGGCAGGCTTTCGCATTTTTCGTGAAAAATTAAACTTTGTCTCTTTCATGTGATTAAGTATTATTTCTCCAAGTTCCCTGCTATACTCGATGTCGCTCGCGATTTCCCTGATTCATTTTTTTAGGACCAAATTGGCATTGCGATTTTGTGCGGATTTTCTGAGGGAATTCGCGAGTAGTTTTTCAAAATTAAATTTTGAGGAAAATTAATAAAATATTTTAACGACCCAGGCGGCACGGCTCTCTGACCGCCGCCCTATGGAGATCGCGGTGATTGCACGGCCCCCTAAGGCCTGACCTCTGACCCTTGGCCCCAGTCAAGAGATCCGCCTCATCAACCCTCCAGATGTCTTTTGCTTCCAGCCACCTCCATCCATTTCATTTCATTTCACACCGGCAGACTAGAGACAGAAAAATGTTTCCATTTTCATCCAGAAATGAAGGCCAGTGCCCTCGGATCGCAGGCTCCTGAGGAGTCAGGTTCTCCCCATTCTTCCCTTTCGGGGACAAAGAGATTTTTTTAAATCTTCATAAGTTTATCGCTTACGAGCGGTAAGCATTGTTCTTCGTCCCCCCCATACCCTTTTTGATTATGTGTTCCTGATTCCTCTCTAACTCTCGAGAATCGTTGTCCTCGACCGGCTTCTTCCTCTATCATTGAACGACTCCATATTAGCTCGATCGCTCAAAGGCGCCTTCCTTTTTCATCGATGAACCCGGAGAGAGAAGAACGCGCGGAACGATATTTATTTGGAAATGTTGAAATTCCGTGGACGTGAGTTTCCATTCGATGAATGTTCAAATGCAAAATTATTTAAATTCGGAACAATAACTACAAAATATGGAACTAGTTTCAAAAAAGATTCTTCCACATGAGTGAATAATAATTCATGCTGGGTGGTGGTATTATGGTAAATGGCAAAAGTAAATCCACCAATCTCGACAAACCTCGCATTGTCTCTTGGTTTCAAAATGTATTTAACATAAATGATTTTGCGTGCATGAATATTATGTATGTAATTTAATTATTATCTGGCCTCCAGGGTACACCACGCTATCTCTCGTCCGATTATGTGCGAGGTAAACCAGACGATTTTTTTTTTTTCCTCGAAGATAAAAAAAAAAAGTCCCGCAATCTCGGTTGAAGTCTTGGAGATAAGTCCGGCCGCGGCGGCGAATCGGCTCGGGGACGCGACCTCACTTATGAAATGGTGAACATATGAAATGAACATATGAAATGTTCCATGAGGAATCCGCAGTCCCTCGCGTTCATCGAGGAAACCTGATCGCTTTCCGACTCCTCTCCGCTTTCATGCTGCTAAATATAACGGGATTCGTTTAGAGAGTGAATGTTTCAATCAGTCAAAAAGCCAATAAAAGTTTGTTTTTCTGGTGGATTCGTACCGCCCAAACCATATGGCAATTATATGCCACAGTTTTTGAATATTCTGTATCGAATGTTACGTTATAATGCCTCATAAAATAATTAAAATTATAAACTGGCTCATGGTCTCAGTCTAAATGAATGCATTTACTGAAGGAAACATGGGGCAAAAATTGCTTCTAATGCCGGCCAAAGGCGATCCCCATCTCGACCTGGAGAATTTGAGCTTCCCAGGCGAAAGACATATTATGTCTTTCATCGCCTTGCAAGGAAAATGCAATGCGGCCAGCCTGACCCCCACAGCAAAGTATCAACAGAATGGTGCAATGAGAGACACCTTTCCATTTCCACCGTCATCACTGTTCCCAGAACTCTTTTCCCTCCCGAAAGATGCTCGGGAATGGCAATGCAACTCTTCATAATAGACTTCTGCTTCGAAAACGGGTTTCTATGAAGTTGCTTTTTTTTGTCGCCAAATAATTGGAAATCACATTTCCTGAAGGTATGCATTTTGAATGAAATATGAAGTTTGCAATAAAATGTCCGTCACTTTCCTCATTTCGCTTTGATCTTTCAAATCTTTCGAAACTGGAAATTTCAGCAGCGAAAGAATTCACGGAGCCGCATAGGAATAAAAACGAGAACGCTCTTGGAATATCGCTGGGTCACGTGACGACGCTAGAAGAGTCCTCTTCCGGAAAAGGAGGATGTCCCTAAGTCTTGTCGTCAAAACACAGATGTCGCCTCCTTCCGAGGACCTTGAGGCCCTCGGTGCCCTCGCATCCGTCGATTCAGAATTGCCAGGAGCATGCAATATTCAGGCGGGAGACGAACTGCTTTGACTCCTCCGAAGTCACGCATACGCAAGCCATTCAGAAAAAAGAAGCAGGCATTCTCCCTCTCGCTTCCATGCGAGTTCGGAGGACATGCGAGGGCAAGGAGGGCATGGGAGAACATGCAAGGGCATGCAAGGGCATGCAAGGGCATGCAAGGGCACGGGAGCCACCTGCACGCAGAATATTAGCCAATTAGGCGGTGGGAGCGAATGCGGCGGGCGTCCGCGCTTCCGGCGGGTCTCCTCGATTCCTTCGTCCAAATGTTTTCGGGGAATGGGATTAGCGATTAACGGATTAACGGATTAACTCTGTCTCTTTCATGCACGCACGGAGACGCAAATAATCAGCTCGGCCAAAAATCGATCCGCTCTCCTCGCGTGAGAACGTTTTTAAATTGGCAAACTCGAAATTAGCGCGAATTCGGCACGATTGCCTGAAATTGGTAAAGAATTAAATTGGCAAAGAATTAAATTGGCAAAGAATTAAATTGGCAAAGAAATTTCCACTGCAAAAACCGATGTAGGCTGCAGCAACTTCAATTGTAAGATCCCGTGATCCTCTGTCAATCTCATTTGGCCGTGCTCAAATAGGACGAAACAGAATTTCCCCCAGAATTTTATCAAACAAATAAATATTAATTCAAATTTCATTTCAAATTTCATGTGGAAAAAATATCTGCGATGTTCGTGGGGAATTTGAAAAAAAAAATCTCTCCAATCCCCCAGCGGGCCTGAATTACTTGGCCATTTCTGTCGGCCATTCTTCCCTGAGGAAAAAATCTGGCCTACAGAATCGGCCCATTCAGTCTCGACCCGTTTTTCGTCCCTGGTCGCGAAGCGATTTCCTTACAAGTGTGACCTGTTGCCTGTCTCCAGGTCTGTGCCAGGCCTTCGGTGGGCCTGGCATGCCAGGCCTGGGGACAACCCGCGTTTGTGATAGCGGGTTGTCCCCAACCTTTCGTGTAGCAGTGACGTTTTGTAACGTAACGCACCGTGACGGACACGGATTAGGGCATGGTAAGCCTTGTCTGAATTTGCGACCCTTGTCTGAATTTGTAACCCTTGTCTGATTTTGTAACCCTTGTCTGAATTTGCAGTGTGGGATCTGCTTACTTTTCTATTTTGTGAGGTTGCCCTCTCCCTCGCGTAATTCTTTTGCTACGATTAATTGCTTATATAATTCCTTAATAAGCGAGGGAGTGAGACTCAACTTTTTCAAATTAATTTCGCTTCAAAAACTCAAAATAGCGAAAATCGCGGTAGAAAGGTACGGGGAAAGATGCAAGAGTCAGAAAGTTTTAGCGAGAAATCATTTTTTTCATTTATTCATTGAAAACTTCATTCTTCGGTAATAGGCGAATCA